AGTAGAATGAATCCAAAACCGTCGAATTCATGCAATCTGCACGAAGGCAAGCGCTAGTTGAGTACGCTACTATCAATGCTCATCTGAGTCGGCCCGGTGTAAATGAGTTAAGTCCTCTCGCTAAACCGTTTGAGTTAAGTATATGAGTGGAATAATAGTACGATGCACAGATTCGCTTCTATATTAGATTACTGAGTAATTAGTAATACTAATAACTCCTATTGTGGCCATCCCGTTCTACCAATTGACTAGACAGGCCAAATGCTCGAAGCTTGTCATTTAATTTAAATGATTTAAACACTTATCGACGCTCGCTGAACATCCTAGATACACTGATCGATTTCAGCCTTTTCCAAGAAACACGTTGTTACTGCTACTGATAGTACTTAGTACTGGAGTAATTGAATTGTAGCCACTTCTTGGGGTATTAGACTAGTAGTACTAGGCTAGTACCCTAAGTACCGGGTGACCCGGTCCGGGTCAAATTCCGTGAAATGGCAAATATATCCAAGGTGTGCAGTTTACCTGTTGGATTCGTACACAAATGCATTACCTCTGTTACCTTGACGAGATTTGACTGGAACCCAAAACGTTAAATGGTTCGAGTTAACAATTTATTGGCGTCCTGTGCATCTCAGCAGTTGAGGCTCAGCTTCATTGGGTGTCACACTGAAGTCTTCAGTCTGAAGAGTAACTTTCTTGGAGTGAAGAACTCGCATCTGACGCATCTCCGTGTCGAAATATGGCGTGGCGTCGAATTCGCGGGGGTCTTGACGTTCTACCATTAACAAGTGTGAACTGAAGGAAATTAAACTGAGAACGGTTCTCACAGAACCACAGAACCATAAAACCTGGAAAATACTATAATATTGTGGCATAATACTTTTAACGAGTTTCTACTAATTACTATAAGTTATAGTCTATAACACCAGTGCAATAGAAAGACTTGATACCATATGAGAGATTCATAATGAGAGGATTTAATGTCATTGAATCATTAAATTAATGATGATCATCAATACTGATCACTGGTGATCACTCGCTGAGATATCTAGCACTGCCAGACTGGTATAATGGTTCATTACGCCAAATACCTTACCAGGAGACTCCTGGTAGGTACCTTACTCCTGGCAGGAGTAAATTACACGAAATGCAATGATTTTACGATGTAATTGCTATCGCAAATTGTCCCGTTACTATGCCGCAAAGTTTGCAGTCTACGATACTCTCCAGGAAAAATCAATTGGAGGAAAACCGATACATCAAAATAAGGGCGCGCGCGAAGCGCGCGTAAGACCCCAGGGAATCTTTCCTTGGTTTCCTCATTCTTTCCTCATTTTTTCCTCTCTTTCCTCGGCTGGAAAGTTTGCCGTGATTCTTTCCGCGTTTCAGCCACCCTGGTACAAAAACTACGAAAATTTCCTCGTCGTTTCTATATTATTTTTACTAACACATTGATGCGTCTCATAGCGCATAGGCCGCCTATCAAGATACCACGCCTATCATACAGTGCGAACCGAACCGTTATGCAAATCACGTTTTTTGAGGTAACTTGCTCAATAAGGAGAGTATATCAATGATCTTTGAAAGGTGTACTGATAATGAGAGTGAAAATCGATTGACACCGTTTCAGAACCGTTTCGTCATCCATTGTTATATTATGGGCGCACGAAAATTTCCGGACCCTTCCGACCGACCCAAACCGTTATGCAACTCCATCATGCTGGGCTATTCTGTGAGGAACTCTAGGAAAAATCATGAGCCAACATGGCCACCACGACATAGGAGGAGTCTCTCCACACGTCTATCCATGGAACAAGTCAACTTTCGGACATCCTCTGCTGTCACCTCTGCTGTCACCTCTGCTGTCACCTCTGCTGTCACCTCTGCTGCTGCCTTCTGGATCGCCGATCACAGTTGATCCGTGGTGTCGAACTGTGCACCTTGACTTTTCTTCTCCTCTTCTTATGTCGAGTTCCAGAGACACATCACGTCATAGGACAACCACATTTAACATAGTTCACTTCGTTTCGAGTGGGATTGGGTGGTCGAAACGAACATCACATGTAGTTGACCATATGCATATATTTTTTATCACACTCTGTTTGAGCGATTCAGAATCAGCGTCAAACATTGTTACGGTTTTAGGTCCGTATATAGAGTTTGCTTGTCGCATCATTAGCTGTGGAATTCGCGGAAAACATGAGCATCATGTTGGTGATGAGAATGGATCGTTCTGGTGCATACAGAGCTCGTCGACGGCGAACGCGAGGTGGGTTAGAACATGACATTTATATGTGATTGGAGTTTCACCCGTTTTACGCGAAGTGAAATGTGAAATGTGTTTTTCACTAGTGCTTTTCACGTCACGGGTGAGATTATTGTATATTATTGATTATTATCACGGGATTGATTATTAACTCCATTGTAAGATTATTATTTCGAAACGAGAAACAAGACAATGTCACAGGGATGAGTGGGAAACAGTACTGATGTCATCAACTAGCGTCCAGCTGAGCTGAGGTTGAGTCGTGCATCAACTGCACACAGTGGGAGGGGACATATACACATGATCAACTACATGTGTTAGTTATATTGGAGTTTCACCTGTGATATGATAAACACTAGTGAAAAATATATTTCACGACTATTGCAAGGCGCAAATACCGCGTTTTTTACGGAGTTTTACGCCACTTCACGTAAAACGGGTGGAAATCCAATATATAAACTCTGAGGAATTCCCTGTACACCTCCACTTTAATACGTATATAAAATCATATAATTAGTGAGGAAACTCTCAAGCTCAGCTGAGGGAAGCGAATATATATTCCTACTCCAACACTGTCTTCACAACTGTTTTTGTCTACCTCAACTGGAATAACATCTTTTTCTCTGTGCTCAGATTCTCACAGATCTCTCTGGGCGAATCGAATCAGGAAGACTGACGGCCATCATGGGCCCTTCGGGAAGTGGTAAATCGACGTTCCTCAATGTGCTCTCTGGACGCACGACTAACAAAGTAGGGGGAAAATATGCACATGATCAACTTCATGTGTAGGTGTGACTAGTGGAAATTCTGAGGAAAATTGAGCGAATTCTTATTGGTTTCTGTACACTTCTACCCAAATTCGTATGTGAACTTCTATAATTAGTGAGGAAACTTTTCTGGGCCCAGCTGCGGGAAGCGAGTATACATTCCTCCAACACTGATTAAAATCGCTGTTCCTATAACAACACACTGGAGATGTTTACAACACGCTTGAGTCAAGATATGGCTACAATGTGTTGT